CCACGGGCTGCCGGCAGGTAAGGTCCGGGCCGCGGGGACCCGCGGGGACCCGCACGCCCTCCCTCCCCCGTCGTGTTGCGATTGCGCCGGGTCCACTCCGTGGGAGCGCACGGCCCCGGCGGTCCCCCACCGCGCGCACCCCGTCCCGGGCCGGATATCTCCCTTTCAAAACGACCCCCGACCCGAGAGCCCGGAGGAGGCTGGGGACGGTAACCGTCACAGCCCTGACCCAGACCCCGGGACCCCTACGCCGGTTCCGCCAGCCCCGCTGGACCTCACCCCCACCCCCCGCCCCCACACACCCCGCGGCTCGCTTTCCCTCCGCTCGGGATTTCCTCCTCTCCTGATTCTATCGGGCCCCTGTCTTCGGGGAGCTCGGATTTCTCCGCACTACGTCCGGCAGACTTCCCGCCGAGTTGACCCGCCCTCCGCCGGCTCCTCCCACGCCTTCCCCGCTGGGTCCAGTTCCACCTCCCCGGGGTGGACCGCGAGGGTCAGGGGCTGTCGGTGACCCTCCCTGCCCGTGGTAGCCCAAGACTCGAGGGCCACCGACCAGGGACCCACGATTGTCCGTGGCCTCCCTGAAGCCAGAATCACACGGGGTGAGGGAGGAGGGAAGGTCTTGGAAGCCAGAAGTAACACTGCAGAAGTCAACTTTTCTAAAAACAAAACAAAACCCAATAGGTGCGTTGTTTTAGAAGGTCAGTGCAGGGACGTATAATTCGAATGTTTCATGAGAAATCTCAGAAACAACACAATTGCAAGCAATCCCCCCACCCATTATTTCCAAGCAAACGAGGAGGTGGGGGGGGACCGTTCCTAAGCCTGTGGGGGCACAGGCTTCATGGGACCTGCTGAGGCAGGTTGTGCATCTTCTAAGTATCGGAGATCGCGAGTCAGTGGAGTAGTTCCTGAGCTGTGAAGTAAGCTTCAGACAGAAAGCGTAAAATCCAACATACAGTAGAGCTCCTCAACGTGGTAGCAAACAGTTCTGTGCTATTGTCATGCACGGATTTAGTCTATTTGCACATACAGGGTACATAAAATCCGGGAGCAGTTCCTCCAATAAATCTTTCCCCTGCCAGCCTCACTCCCAAGGGGGGGCTAATCATCTTGCTGGCCCTGTAAGAACCTGGTTTTAATTTTGTTTAATCTTTGATAGAATAGAAAGACTAGCTAAAAGTCACTTTGTGATTGTGCTTCTGCCATTTAAAAGAGGAATCAAGAGATTCTATCACTGGTCTCCCAACCCCCCCTGCCCCCCCCAAAAAATTCCACAGAAATCTTCCAACATGAGCTTCCACCAGGCACTGTACCCCAGCCAGAGAAATCGGGGTCTCCCAGGCTCCATCAAGGGGCTCTGTGGAATGCAAACCTGACCCCTGGCCCTGCTTCAACAGAGACTTAGTAAATTACATTGCAGTCAGCTCCCTCTTGAGTACCTCCTCACTGAAACCTAGCAGAGATCCGAATCCTCAAACACCCACAGATATGACAGCCTCTGTCCCACGAGCTTTGATTTTATTAATAGGGCAAAGAAAAGCATCACACCAAGCAAATCTAATAAAAAATGCCTCATTAAGGGCTGGGAAGGTAGCTCAGTGGTAGAGCGCTTGCCTTGCATGCCTGAGGCCCTGGGTTCGATTCCTCAGCACCACATAAGCAAAAAAAAAAGCCAGAAGTGGCACTGTGGCTCAAGTGATAGAGCACTAGCCTTGAGGTGAAGAGCTGAGGGATAGCACCCAGGCCCATAGTTCAGGCCCCACAACTGGACCCCCCCCCAAAAAAAATGCCTCATTAGGGACTGGGAAAGTGGTGCAGTAGTAGCATGCTTACCTTGCATGCATGAGGCCCTGGGTTGGATTCCTCAGCACCACATAAGCAGAAAAAAGCCAGAAGTGGTGCTGTGGCCCAAGTGGTGCTGTGGCTCAAGGCAATAACCTTGAGCTGCAGAGCCGAGGGACAGTACCAAGGCCCAGGGTTCAGACCCCATGACTGTAAAAAAAGCCTCATTAAAAATTAATTTACAAGGGCTGGGAAGGTGGTTCAGTGTTATAGTGCTTGCCTTGCATGTATGAGGCCCTGAGCTCGATTCCTCAGCACCACATAAGCAGAAAAAGCAGGAAATGGTGCTGTGGCTCAAGTGGTAGAGAGCTAGCCTTGAGCTGAAGAGCTGAGGGACAGCATCTAGGCCCAGAGTTCAGGCCCCATGACCGACAAAAAGCAAAATAATAATAAAATTACAAAACCTCTGACATTAAGTTTTTCACAGAACAATCTGAATTTTCAGGGGTGACAGGACCAGTGCTATGCATTAGTATTGTGCTTGGTTGTTTGCTTTCTTTCTTTTTGTACCAGTATTGACTGGGGCTTGACTGGGCCTGGACACTGTCCCTTAGCTTTTGTTTTGTTCAAGACTGGCACTCTACCACTTGAGCCATGGCTTCGCTTCTGGCTTTTTGCTGGGTCATTGGAAATTAGAGTCTCTTGGGTTTGTCTGCCCAGGTTGGTTTTGAACTGTTACTCTCAGATCTCAGCCTTCTGGATAGCAAGGATGACAGCTGTGAGCACTGATATCAGGGCTCTTGTGTTACTTTTATATGACTTTGCTAGATCACTGCATCTTCTTTGACTATCATTGAAAGATCAAGTCTTTTCAGGACCAAGCCTGGATCAGAGCCACCTGTTGGGCAGTAACACAGGCTATCAAAAAACTTTACATGGAAAAAATGTAAAGTTTTGTTTCTTGGAAGATCTGTCTAGTCCCCAATTTGTCTTTACATGCTATAGGAATCACTATTTTGTGGTTCATCATCTGTAGGTTGTTATAAAGTGAATGCTTAATCTCAATTTAGTTTCTAAAAATTTCCCTCTCTATATACATATATATTCTCCAGAAATCTGAGCTTATCTGTTAAAGGCTTTGGCACCACCATTCCCCAAACATACCTATGTCTTCCCTTCCAGCTCTCAGCCCAGTCATGTGGCCTTGGGAGGGACATGGTTAACAGCAGACTGACCTCTTGGCCTGATGTTAATTCTTCCTAAGGGCTCTTCTGCAGAAATGTGTTCTCCAATGAGGCCCTTTGAAAAAAGAAGGCACTACTCAAAGATTTTTCTATTCCTGCTTAACTATTGAGCTCAGGCTTTTTCACTTACAACTATCACTGAACCATACTTCTGCTTCCAGCGTTTTGCTGGTTCATTGGAGATAAGAGTCTCACACTTCTCTGCTGAGGCTGGTTTTGAATCACAATCAGATCTCAGCCTCCAGAGTAACTAGAATTACAGTTTTGGGCCACTGTAAGGGTTTATTTGACCAAGTTAAGCATTTTTAAGCATGTCCTTAACCCATTAAGTCCTTTTTGAGTGCTACACACCTTGTTTCTTACAGACTCACAGAGGAGATAGGGCCTTTTATACAGAATACTAAAGCCTAGCGACTAGGGGCTTGCCAAGAGCTGCCCAGTCTCTAATAGTAGCATAGCAAGCTGAATTTCAGTGACATGGCCAAATGTAAGGATTCTGTTATTAGGAGGCAGTAGAGTGTGAAAGGGGCTTCCGCAAGCAGGCTGCTCACATTAAAACCCAAGTTTAAAAGCCTCATCAACTAGACATGCACAGCCATCCTCAAATGTGTGGTATATGAAGGTGGATTCCCAGGTTCCATCTCTGATGTGGAATTCCTCTTAATGATGGAGACTGGGCTAGGTGTATAGCAAGAAGAGGAGATGGCGCTGAGCTCCAGATCCTTGAAGCTTACAGGATCATTGTCTGATGTAGCTCAATGTGACTGGACCACTGGAAAAGCAGCAACAAAGAAAAGATGGCAGTTGGAGGGGAGGGATTGTGAGGCCTGGTTCTCATTATTGTGCGGGTTGGGGCTGGTTGGCCGGGTTTTTCTTCTCTTTGGGGCTCTGGCAAGGTGGGGGGAAGGTGGGAGGCGGCAGACAGTGGACAGAGGCCTCTCCATCACCAGCGATGTGCATGGTGATGTCAGTTAGATGGCCCGGAGTGCACGTGTCTCACGCCCGCCCCTCTCCCCCCACTCTCGCCCGGCAGGCTGTGAAGTGGCCCTCGTGTTCCCGATGCGCTCCCCGCGGATCTTTGGCAGCGTGCACCCCGTGCGGCCCTTGCAGCTGCGCGCCTTCAGCGCGTGCCTCTGGGTGCGGACCTCCGAGGTGCTCAACAAGACCGTCCTCTTCTCCTACAGCACGGAGCAGAGTCCACGCGAGCTGCAGCTCTCCCTGGGTCCCCGCGCCGTGGAGCTGGTGGTGGGCGGGGAAGGGCAGGGGCTGTCGGCGGCCCGGGCCGTGGCCCCGGGGCGGTGGACGCACCTGTGCGGCACGTGGGGCGTCGCAGGGCGGCCGCGCCTCCTTGTGGGCCGACGGACAGCTGCTGGCCGCCGCGGCAGAGGTGGCCGCTGGCCATCAGGTCCGTGCGGGCGGCGCCCTGCGGATGGGCCAGGAGGGCGGCGGAGGCGCTGGCGGCGTCGACCACGCTCCCGCCTTCTCGGGATGGCTCACCGGCTTCAACATCTGGGACCGTGTCTTGAGCGAGGCCGAGATCCGCGAGGCCGGCGGGGACGAGTCCTGCCACGTCCGCGGGAACGTGGTCGGCTGGGGCGTCACCGAGATCCTGCCCCATGGTGGTGCGCAGTACCTCTCCTAGGCCGCCACCGCCTGCCCGCCCCACGCGCGACACGGACATGTGCGCCCTGCGGGGCCGGCCAGAGGACCCCCACGCATGCGCGGACACGCGGCGCCGGAAGGGCTCGTGGGGTGCGGCGGGGAGGCTGGGCCACGCATGGCCCCGTTCCCATCCCCTCCCGGGCGGCGGCGCAGAGGACAGCGGCCAGTCGCTTCGGGTTCGTCTTGCTGTCAGGAGAACAGGAGGCTCGCAGTCCTCCCTCTGATACACCCCCAGACCCCCGCGTGAGCTCGTAACAAGCGCAGGGGGCCTGCACGGCGGTAACCGCGGCCCTTCCCCAGAACACAGTCATGTAAGTTATATTGTAAAGTGAGTTTGTATTAATTTTATTTTTATAAGTCTCTCCTGTAAATAAAATGTTTTATAACACTAGCTCGTGTCCTCCACTTGAATTTGGGTGAGTGAATGTGTGAATGTGTCAGTGTGAGTGTGTGAGTGTGTGCTGGGCACAAGGCTTGACCTCAGGGCCCACACTGTCTCCAGACATTTTTGCACAGGGCCAGCAGTCCGTGTGCTTACACGCCATCCGTGCCCTAGCTCTGAACAGCTGTCTACTGTGTGCGATGGTCCTCCCCACCCTCCTCTCTGGTTGGAATGTGGGGTGGCTCTGAACAGCTGACTGCTGTGTGTGATGGTCCTCCCCACCCTCCTCTCTGGTTGGAATGTGGGGTGGCTCTGAACAGCTGACTGCTGTGTGTGATGGTCCTCCCCACCCTCCTCTCTGGTTGGAATGTGGGGTGGCTCTGAACAGCTGACTGCTGTGTGTGATGGTCCTCCCCTCCCTCCTCTCTGACTGGAGTGTGGGGGTAGTGGCTGTAACTCCAGTCACCGTCTTGTCTTGTACCATCAGACCCCACGCTGTCACACAGATCCATACCAGTAGGGGAAAATCTGCGAGCTCAGGCTGCAGAATCCAGGACTGCTCTGCAGATGTGAGATTCAGTTTTCCCTTAACTCTGTCTGGCTTCCACTAAAGCCATGCCACTCTGCAACAATCTACAGTGCTCCCTCACCATGTGAGCATGTTCACCTCACCTTTGGTGCCATTTGCCTTTCGGGAGGCCTATTTTGGATTTGAGGACAGGAAACCACTCAGCAGATCATGTAACTTAAGATGTCACTGACTGAGAGTCTAGGATTCTTTTCCATTGAGTCGTTTTCTGAGTGTGCACGCAATTCGGGTGGGTGCAGGCCTCCCCCTCCTACAGGGCCCCATCTGCTGGTGAAGTGGAGAAGGTGTCAGCTCTGACAGGCACCACGTTCAAGGCTGGGCTAGCAGTCCTGAGAAGGCTCTTGTCTGTTCCAAAGTGTCTCTCTCCAGGTTTTTATTCATATTCTATTATGTTATGTGTACTAGTATTCAGGTTGAATATTCCTAATAAAATGAATTAATAGCTCATTACTTAAGAGTATTGGTTTAGTAATTTTTTCCCTAACAACCTGTAATGCATTACCTTAAAGCTGTTGGTTTTTTTTTTTTTCAGGAAGAATTGTTCCATGGATTTTTAATGCTTGAGTATCTCTCTAGGAAGTATCAAAGTTAACAAATGGCCATGGCTATGACTGTAATAATTTACTAGGGACCTGGTACATGGCAGGTACTACATTGTTGCTGATAACAATTCCGATGATGATGATGATGATGATGATATTTGAAGAATCCCAGAAATCATGATGAACAGTGGGCTGAGAAATATTCCAATTATAGATGCTTTATTGACTTACATCTAATCTGTCCTGCGTGATACATATTCTTATTGCTATGTTGGAATAAATTTTCTAACTCCATTTCTCTGAGACTTCTCACTAAGCAATGGTTTGAATCTTGTTTCACACAAAGGAAGAAATGAGATAAAATTTGCATTTATTTTTAATTAACTAGACAGCCTTTTCTGGGATGTTGTCAGTCAATCATAAAGGAATTGGAACGCTTTTGTAGACAATATGACATTTTCTTCCCAGATTTGCTTAGTTAGGTTTCCAGTCATTTGAGCCATCTTGTGGTTTGTGCCAGGGCACCAAGGTGAATGGTATGTTGAAAGGGCAGACGTCCTTCTTAAGGCCCTTGCTTCAGAGATGTCACTGCTTTCCAGTTAGATACCAGTGGTGTAGACGACGTCACAGAGGTCCTGATCAACGTGTACAATAGACTTCCCTATAAGCTCTCAACACGATCCGTTAAGGCCAGAGAGATGCTCCTAATAAATCAGTCACCTTGCATGCAAGATGTGGTAGCTCATGTTGCTTCTTTTTCCCATACTGGACAGGTGGCCTGGCCCGTATGCATGCAGCAAAGAATAAGTTGGGAGAACTCAGGTGACACCTTGGCTTATTTTTTAATTCAAATTCAAGTGGAAGCACTCACTAACGTACCCATTAGGTATAATTTGAGTTTATTCTTGTTTTGTTTTTGTGACATTGCTATCAGTTTTTATATCCAGTTTTCTATTTCACCTGAAATTAAAGACATGTGCTATGGACAAATATCTTAGGATAACTCATTGAATAGTTTACTCTTCTATTGCAAAGCTTCACTGCTGTATATTTATCTAGTTTTCAGGTCTGTAAGGGCTTACTTCTGCCCATGGTTCATGCTACTTGCCTATTCTTGCACCTGCACTGTGTTCTCTTCATTGCTAGGATTTTACAACGTTAAGGAAATTATTGCCTCCCCCTACTGCACAACTCCTATCTTCAAAATTGGCTGAGATATTTTATTCTGTTTTGTCTTTTTTTTATGGCTTTGTCGTCCTTCATAGTAATCTCAGTTGGAATTTTACTGTTTCACTGAATATGTTAAAAAGTGACATCTGAGCTACATCAAATTCTTCCATTCATGACATAGTATATTGATATATTTGCTTATCTTTGATTGCTTTCCAAAATGTTATAATTTTATTTCACTCTTTTACTAGGTATTGTGTGCTTTTTTTCCTGCTTTAAATAATATCATTTCAGCAACATTTCAGCTGCTCAGGAGGTTGAGATATGAACAACATGGTTTGACACCAGTGGGGCAGATAAATCTGTCAGTCTACTTCCAATTCATTAGCAAAAAGCTGGAACTGGGGCTGTGGATCCAGTGGTAGAGCACTGAGTTCAAGCTCTAGTACTGGCGAGAATAATAATCAACACATAAATAACTATGAATATATTTTCAATTAATTGTTCCTGGGTTTTGACATCACTTTCTGCAAGTTTACAGAAATTTCTCTTATTGTGTCTAAAACCTGACTATGAAGTATTTGGGGTTTGCTTGTAGAAAATCTTATTTTCTTTTTCTTTTTTTTGGTTGGTTGTGGAGGCTTGAACTCTGGGCCTGTGTGCTGTCCTTGAGCTCTTCAGCTAAAGGCTAGCACTCTACCACTTGAGCTATAGCACCACTTCTGGTTTTCTGGTGGTTTATTGGAGATAAAAGTCTCACAGAAGCAAACAAGAAGGAAACATTCAGAGTTCGGCAGACACCGCTCCATGTGTCCTTTCAAAAACTCCTATTTTTTTAAAAAAAAAAGTCTTTGGAGATTTGGTGGACCATAAGCACAAAAGACATTAAAGATGTTATGCTGTGGGAATCTGTTTCTTGGATATGCTAGGCAAAATGCAGCTTCTTTACAGGAGGCTGTGTCCACTTTAATTCTCAGGATGAAGCCTGGGCCATCATGGTTAGCTATGGAGGGCAGGATGGCAAGGGGAGAGCAGGAGGGACCAGAGAATGTCCTGGACACAGGCTGAGTAATCATATGCCAGGTCAGCGAGCTGGCAGGAGATCTGTGATAGTTATGACTGAGGAAGAAGAGGGGTGGGGCGGAGGAGAAGTGAGAAACGGTAGTTATGCCCCAGTATTTGGAAGCTTACTGTGTGAAAGAGCAACATGGGGTTTTGCCCCAGGGAAAGGCCTACCACACATGGGAGGTGACTGGAAAGAACTTCTGTAGATTGTCTCTGGCCCTAACGAGTTCAAATAGAAGGAGAGAGTCATGATTTTATCTTCACTATTCTAAGCGAATACCTATTGAGGGCTATGTGCAGGCCTCCTTTCATGTGATTGCCCAGACCAATCTGTTATGCAGAAGGAAATGAAGGCTCAGCAAAATGAAGCATGCAACCAGTATTTGGTGGAGCTGGGATTCAGCAGTAAAGTAGGCTTTCCAGTGAAATGGCCATGACAGAGTCTTGCTTTAAGCTCCCTGCGATTCAGCATGCTCATCTAAAGATGATACCGTGGGCATCTGTAGAGTCTCTGTGCCCAGTGCTGGTTCCTGACCACAGTCTGGATTTCTTCTGGATCAACTCCTTCTTAATCCCTCACCCGAGTGGTTCTAGTGAAGCTGACTCCATCTTGTTTTGAGGGTGGCTGGCAGCCACAGCTCTGCCATTTGATGTACAGCATGCACTGGTAGCAGTGATGGGTTGGCTCAGAAATGGTCATGTGGTCCCTGTCAGATTGGAAAAACTGAGGCATTTTCTGGCTATTAGTATTCCTGATGAAGGGGACCTGAAAGCTGGGGGACATGAAATCAACCAAATCCACAGAAAGCAAGCTGAGCCATGGCTCTGGGAATGGCCATTGAACCCCGAATCAAGTAACAACGGAAGTCTGAAGTCCTTGTGTATCTCTCAGTCACACAACGTGTCTGCAAATTGTTGTTCTGGTTCCTCCTGAGTCTCCATCTCTTCTTCAACCTTCCTTTTTCTCTTCTTCAAGCCATTGATAGCAGGACTTTTCTGTCACTTAATTCTGCTTATTGGTAAAATGGGGTTTTTATGGTATCAAGTGATATAATCTACCATAAAGAAAGCATGTAATAAATGTTAGCCATTGTAGTTATTATCAGCGGTACTGTAATTATTGGGGAGCTGAGCTTTTCTTTTCTTTTTTTTAGAAGTATAACTATGGGAGAACAAAGATTAGAACACTACAAGCTAAAGAAGAAGGTATAAAAGCTAAGAAAAACACTGTA